ATGAGGTGAATTTTTTTATGAAGAAAGTGGAAGGAGTTAGACGTGATGGGTAGGACAAGGCTTTAGCGAAGAAGCCCAAGATCACAGGTAACTTCCATGGTTCCTACTCCAGATGTTCTGGTAGGCCGAGACTTGCAGCCCGACCAATTAAGTCAGCCTTGTGCACTTCTACACGTAGTTACTCAAGAACTCCACAACATAATTTTATTCAGGATAGCCAGAGAGCCGCACCTTCGGCGGGCAGCAAGTCATCTTTTGACTGCATTTGTAATAATTATGGAGAACATGAGCATATCAGAAGAGTTTATGCCCACCCGCGCTTGTTTGACCCCGCGCAGCAGAATACTAGGGAGGTGGTACCCGCGGGCAACAACTATAATGGCAGAGGGCGTCCACAAGGTTGTCGAATAGGGAATAAAAAAGGCCGTGGAGGCTGGGGAAATGGTAATTCAGGTAGAGGAACAGTGCAGCCAGGCAAGAAGGTTGTCCATCAAGATGACAGGGCTTAGTGTTATTCCGTTCCGGGCAGAAGTGATGCATAGTCTTTTGATGCTGTGATCACGTGTACTATTCTTGTTTTTGACCAGCCGGCAACTGTTTTGTTTGATGCGGGCTCTACTTATTCATATGCGTTAGTTCATTTTGCATTGGCATTTGATTCGGTTTGTGATGTACTTGATGCACCTATCCATGTTTCTATCCAAGTTAGAGAGTCTGTCAAAGTCACATATGTATATCGTGCTTGTCCTATGTTGTTTATGGTTTTTTCAAACTTGAGTTGATTTGGTTATTTTGGATATGAATGACTTTTACATAATCTTAGGCATGACTTGGTTGTACCCCTATATGTTGTGCTTAACTGTAATAATATGCTTGTGACTCTACAGATCCCGGGTAGGGAAAAGTTAGAGTGGGAAGGGGTGTACAAGCCTAATCCAGCTAAGGTCATATCCTCCATTCGGGCTAGAAAACTAGTGGGGCAATGGTGTTTCGCATAATTGCTTCATGTTCAAGATGTCGAGATTGAGTCTCCCTTTATTGAGTCTATTCCTGTAGTATCTGAATTTAAGAGAGTGTTTCCTAAGAATTTTCCTGGTATGCCTCCTGATAGAGATATCGATTTCTGCATGGACTTGGAAATGGGTACTTGCCCCATTTCAATCCCTTCCTATTGCATATCTCGGGTAGAATTGAGAGAGCTTAAGGCACAAATCCAGGAGCTTCTTGAGAAAGGTTTCATCAGTCCTAGTGCTTCCTATTGGGATGGGGTGCTCCTGTCTTTTTTGTTAAAAAAGTATGGTAGTATGAGAATGTGCATAGACTATCGACAGTTGAATAAGGTAAGTTTTTGAAATAGGTACCCGTTGCCTCGGATTGATGATCTCTTTGACCAGTTGTAAGGTGTGTCAGTTTCCTTTAAGATTGATCTAAGGTCTGGTTACCATCAGTTAAAGATTAGGCCTCAGGATGTTACCAAAACGACATTCAAGACCCCCTATAGGCACTATGAGTGATGTCGTTTTGATTGACCAATGCACCTGCAACCTTTATGAGATGAATGGTGTGTTGAAATCCTTCCTAGATTCTTTTGTTATTGTCTTTATTGATGACATTTTGGTTTATTTGAAAAGTGAGGAAGAGCATGCCAACCATCTTCGTATAGTTTTGGGTGTCCTTGGGAGAAAAAAGATATATGCTAAATTTTCCAAGTATGAGTTCTGGTTGACTTTAGTTGACTTTTTGGGGCATGTAGTTTCAAGTGAAGGGGTAATGGTGCATCCCCAAAAGATTGAAGCAGTGAAGAATTGGTCCGGCCTAGCTTTGTGACTGAAGTTAGGAGATTTGTGGTGCTCGCTCGCTACTATCGTCGGTTTGTGAAAAACTTTTCTACTATTGCCACGCATTTTACAAGGCTGACCAAAAAGGAGGTGCCTTTCAAATGGACTGAAAAATGTGAAAAGAGCTTTGAGAAGCTCCAGACTCTCCTGACCACAACACCTATTCTGGCACTACAGTTGGAAGGTAATGATTTCATTGTTTATTATTATGTTTCACATTCGGGTTTGGGTGCTATGTTGATGTAGTTTAAGAATGTCATAGCTTATGCATCGTGGCAGTTCATGGTGCAAGAGAGGAACTACGCGACACATAATTTGGAGTTTGCAACGATATTGTTTGCCTTTAAGATCTGGAGGCATTACCTTTATGGTGTCATGTGTGAGGTGTTTACTGACCATTATAGTCCACAACATGTATTCACTCAAAATGACCTAAATCTGTGACAATGCAAGTGGATGGAGTTACTTAAGGATTGAGATGTCACCATGGAGTATCATTCTAGTAAGGCTAACATGGTGGCAGATGCTTTGAGCCGAAAGGCAGTAAGTATGGATAGTCTAGCTTGTTTTGGTGAATCCAAACGACCGTTGGCCAAGGAGATTCAGACCTTGGAGTCTAAGTTCGTGCAGTTGGGCATCTAAAAGAAAGGTGGGCTGTTAACTAGCATTGAGGTTAGACACACATTCATTGAGGAGATCAAGGCCAAACAACTTGAGGATGAGAATTTAAATGTGCTTAGGAAGAAAACAATTTCTTGTAAGGCACAAGATGTGGTTCTTGATGTGGAAGGTGTGCTTAGTTTCAAGGGGAGATTTTTTGTTCCTTGAGTGGATGACTTGATTCAGAAAATGTTGACAGAATTCCATGGTTCGCCGTATTCCAGTCATCCTGGTGTGACAAAGATGTAAAGAGATTTGGAGCGACTTTATTGGTGGCTTGGCATAAAGAAAGACATTGTCACGACCAAGGGTTACCCTTAGATATAACAAGGCATACGTGACTCCGGGAGGCCTCATACAAGCCCCTTAGAATATCATAAAATAAAGTAATAGAAATCAGTGGAAATTTAAAACATATTTCATAATAACAAAGTTTCATAAAACGAAGCGGAAGTCTTTAACACTTGTCTCAAACCATTTAGTACTTGAAAGTCTTAGGGACATAGCCCATACAACAATTTTAAACATAAAATGTAAGACATAAAGGAAACATTGTCAAATCCTCGATACTATGAGGACTCACCAAATCTTCACTCCATTCTCTATTATGAACCTAGCCACAGGGAATGAAGTTGATATTGCCATACCCTACATTTGATAAGAAGTAGGCAAAAGTAAGCGTTAGTACAAACATGTAGTAAATATGATGGCTAGCATAAATCATCAACATAAGCATGGCATAAGCATTAGTCAACATAAGACATAGGCTAAAACTATAAGAGATAAGAACATAAGTCATAAGCATATTCAATGCACATAAGTCATCATGCTAATAAGAGGAACACTTCTCAAGTAACCTCAACTTGTTCTTACTCAATACATAGGTCAGCACCTCTATTTGTACATATCATGGAAGGCAACTCATGCATTTATCATAGCTAATCATTTCTCATACTATAAAGCTCATATTAAAACATACCTACGATACTTCCTTGAAGTAACCTTGCTTCATCATAAACATGTCACTTTGGTTAGGGATTAGTCCCTATTTATCTATTCTTACTATTCATGGAAGAGTACTTCATTACTAGTCCAAGACAAGTCATTACTCATGAATGGTTATGATTTACTAATTCAAGGCTACCAAGGAAAAGTACCTCATTATTCTAGACCAAGCTATCATGGAAAGCACCATACTTATGCAAGTCCAAGCTACTCAAGGAAGGGTACTATTGCTCAATCCAAGTTATCATTATATGGTGTGGGCTCACACAGTCAAGCTACCATGCAAATCAATCTATCTTGCTTAGTTCAAGCTAACCATTGAAAGTGTACTATTACTTAATCCAAGACTATCCATGAGATCTACTTACTCAAGATACCAAGCATGGTCTTATCTTACGAAGTCAAGCTATTCATGAAGGGACCTCATATTACTACTTCAAGCTATCATAGTTCATACATGCTTTGTTTCATTTTAGGTTAGCAAGCCTTTCAACCTAGAATCATTCTATAAGACAAAATCTTTCACCTTAATTTTTATATAGCTTTATGAGAATGTCCTTTTAATCAACACACCATCTATCTCATAATCATTGACACTTGATGTTTGCCTAATCAAGACACAACTTCCGATGCAAGTGTCTACGATCATACAATAGTGTAGTAACCCAACTAAGGGTTGGGATCGTTCCCAAGAGAGTGCTATTGAGAATTAATAGAAAAATAAAATTCCGTTCTAACTAGTCGTAGCTAAAGACATTAACGATTAAAAACATTGTAAATTAAAGGGGGACACAAGAGTGTCAATTAACAATGGGGTTTTGTTACTAGTAAGTAAAAACAACAAAATAAACAAGGATTTCTAAGTCTTGAGAGGGGATCCTTGGGATGTGATAGGAATACGGGTTAAGGGCTGAAATGAATTACCAGAAAGCACTCATACATACAGAAATAGGTAGACACCAACTCCACATTCATAACACAGTGAAGAAGATAGAGCATGACATAGACTCATTCAATGATGGGAACTGTGAGCTCACTCATTCTAGTTCAGCTCACATTATTAATGCTTTGAAACATTAGTTCAAATATCTTATGTTTGGCAAGGTATGCTCTTAGTCACATACCTTTTGTTGGTAATATAACACATCTATTGTTGCAAATTTATTCATTCTTTTCTGTATTGATGGTAGTGGTGGTCAAGACGTCGAAGATATATTAACATATGGGATCCCAGTAAAACTTACGCACTATTTTCGGATTACAATTTAAGTGAGACCACCACAAGCCAAATCGCTAAGTCCAAGGAAGAAAGAGTTACTGAACTTGAAGCCATTTTAGGTAGTAGCTCAAAGAGTGAATAAGAGACTATTGAAAGTTAGTTCGAGGGTCTCTTCAGATTGAAAATTGAAGCTGAAGTTTAGTATTTGGCATTATAAAAAACAACCCAAAATTTGTGAAATACAACAGTAGATCAACTTACCCTCATAGAAGAACATATGACATTAGCTTCAGAACAAGTACAGATGGTGCACGTGCTCGGAGATGCCGAAGCAAAGGCTGTAGAACTCAAGACACAAACCAAAAAGTTGGAAAATTACTGTGAAGATTTAGCAAGCATTGCTAAAAAGCTAAAGCTACAGAAGAAAGTCTGTAAGTACAGTTTGTGTTTTTTCATATAGTTGGTGTTGTTCACCATTGTAATTGTACTGTTTCTGATGCAGACGTCGCTTCATCATGCTGAACTTGTACCCACCTAATATTAGAGATGTTTCTTTCTTTCTTTCTATTTTTTTCTCTCCCTATTTCAACAATGTCGTCCTTAAATGTTGCAAGTTAGATTAGTTTGTTTTAGATGTCTATAGATAGCTGAAATACCTACTTCTAATTTTGTCGTGTCTATAATGAATGGTAATCATAGAAGATGGTCTGTTCGTTCATAAGTTGAGATAACTTTTCTTCTGTAAAAAGGGTGAGCACTTTGATTTTCTTAAACCTGGTCTCATATCATTACGACTTTAGACATTTCTGTTTGTTTGTGATGAACTATGTAATGGTGTAATTAGATTATTGGAGTTGCAGAAATCCATACGGCTTTAGACATTTCTATTTGAAGTTGAAACAAAATGGCATGTGCATGAATTGAAGCTCATGTAGAAAAGCAAGACTGAACTTTAGCCATATGAAACATCAATTACCGCGTGTCTTGGGTTGTTTCGAAGTAAATAAACTTGTGCATGTATGACTTACATGGTGATCTCAAGATTGGGTATCTATGCACTTTGGCCCTTTACAACAGCCTTAAAGGCTGTGCCAAGATTTTCTAGGCCCTAAAACCATGTCTGTTATCCATGGCACTTTTATAACATTGCTAAAGTATTTAGTACGAAAAATATTAATTATTAAAAGTAGATGTGGTATATTACAGGTAGTTGATCAGTTATGTATTAATTTTCTTCTAAGAAATTACATGGGGTATTTTTTATTTACTTTAGAAGGAGAGTAAAATCTTGCCATTGACATGTGAACCCATAAATACAATGTTTGTTTTTGCTATCTAATTACTAGTTCTGAATCCTTTGCTCAGATTTGAAGCTTGGCTTATGTATGATTCGTGGAGAAGTTCTCTTAAAACAGAGAGATTGCTACTTTATTTCCTTCCAATACTTGATTTTGATATGTTTTACTTAAGCTCAGGGCCAATCAGAAATCACCTCTCTTTTCCTACAAAGTAGGGATAAGGCTATGTACTCACAATCCTCTTCAAACACTGCTTGCGGGATTACACTCACTATGTTGTTATTTATACCCTCAGTGAGAGCAAACTGTCTATACTATAGATAGTGAGATTGTACTCATTTTTTCTATATATGATTATGTAGTTCTGTTGATTATTCTCTCTAACTCACGATTGCAGTGGACGTTAGAATGAAGCTTTCACTAGAATTCCTGTTGAAGCTAAGCTTTCACTACACATCAATGAATGAAGATTATAGCTATTTGTTTCATCTCCTTGAGTTAAGGTATGTAGTTGCAGCTATATAGATGTTCATCCATTTTCGCATTTTTGAGCAAACTAGATTAACTATTGAACTCATATAGATCTCTACTACATGTTAGACACTACTGAAAATTGTTATAGTTACAAATGGTCAATTTATAGTAGATGAGAAGAGCCAAAGATGGGTAAACGATTTTAATTCTCTGTTGGCTAATATTTTGTAAGGTACTTTGTATTTATAGAATCTACTAAACAAAGGCAAAAATAAGTGAAGTTCATTTCAATGAATATTTATTACATCTTATTGCATTGGAGAGAAGTAACATGTAATACATAGTGAATTTATATGTAATTAGTGTTGTAACCTAGCACATGGACATTTTTATTGTAGCTGTTGTGCGGGGTGCAGTGGAGTAGAAGTACACGTGGTTATCTGGGTTGTTGCACAATATCAAACCTAGCAACAACTTCTTTATTGTCAAGTCACAACTGTCGTTTAACGCATGTGACATATAAGAATTTAAAGGATTTTACTCTGATCCAGCTAAATATGAGGCCTAGTATTCTTTGCACTAACCATTTTATATTTTTCTTTCTTGAATTTAACTGTGAAAGAACCACCCATGCTTTTAGCTACACACAAAAAACATACCTTCGTTATTCTGATTCTTATTCAATTGTTTCCTTTTGAAAACTCTATAACAGGTGTACAAAGGAAGCTGCATATGAATTATAAGGTATGTTTTCCTTGGAAACAATCTTTTCTTAATTTTCCCATGTGACAGACGAGGCAAATGTTATTGCTAGACGTAGGTGTATTCTCGAGTGATGATTCATTAGTAAATCTACGCCTGATTCTCGATGTCTTATTGGGAGCAACTTCAAATTATTTCCTGATATCATATTCTCTATCTATTTCCTTTTTTCTGTCACTAGGAAAGGAGAAATATTGACATACGATAGTCGTAAAAATCTGGCATTTTTCTTAGTAGTATATATAGATATTAGTGCTTCCTTAAAAGCTTTTGATTTGAACTCTGAGCACTGAAAATTTCTCAGTGAATGGAGCTCTTATCTCTTGGCACGTTTATCGGCTTACTTGGCCTAAAGATTATATTTGTCATAGAGATGATATTTGGAAATAGTGATTGGGTTAATAATTTAGAGTGGAGCATTAGGAGAAGTGTGTCTACTCCATATGTTTTTCTCCTCATTGCAGCCTCTTTATCTCTTTGTCTGATGTTGTGGTTAGCAGTTACTCCACTGAAATATGCAGGTTTCAGGTTTGATGCTCAGTCATTTCTGTAAATGCCTATGCCTGACCCATATTCGGAGTATAATCAACTTGGTGTGAGTAATACAATGTTTGGTCTAGTGGAAGGGTCTTCCCAAAATCAAGAAGGTGCATTTCATGTGGAAAAAGCCTTGGTAAGCCATCCAGATTTATCAACTAAAGATACTGATCAACTCTTGCCTGAATCACTTTTGGATTTTGCGAAGGTCCATCATTTGGCTACTATTGATGAGAGCAAATCTGAAACAACATTTTCAGCTCCTGCTGTCTGTCATCCTGGGGTATTTGTATCAGCAGGAGCAATTTCCGGTGTGAAGAGTATTTGTAATGAAGTGTCTGGTGTTGGAAATAATTTATTTTGAATGTGCTGGAAAATGCCGGTAATTGAATTTGAATAGTGACCAGAAGCAAACTCGATCTATTGTAGTGAACGATGACGAGTTTTTGTACTGTTGTCATATTTGTTTGTGGAATTTATTTATAGTAGAGATCTTTAAGCAATCACTTTCTATGTATTGGTTGTACAAGACATTTTTCGCGAAGTTTATTTGAAATATATAGTTTCGATTTATATATTTACTAATTTTGTGGTTTAGATCACTTATATATTTAATTGTGTGATTATTGATTATATGCAAATAAAATTATTATTCTTAAAAATGAAAAATTGTTGCTACAAAAATTCTACACAACTTTGTCACACTTCAAAAGTGTTGCTATAGGGACGTCCAATGTGTGTCTTATTGGTTACAAATTTTATCTTGTACATAAGAAAAGTTACACTTTATAAATGTTGTTCTAGATGTGATATAAAAGGCAACACTTTTTAAGTGTGCCCAATAACAAAGCAAAGGCCACGCTTTTAAGTGTAGTATAATCAAACAAAAGGTGTTGCTAATGAATTACTACAAAGTGTGCCCTTTATACCTCTTTGGTCACGCTTTTTAAGTGTAGCTGCTATGGTGACATTTCAAAAGTGTGGCCTAATGTCAAAGGTTACGCTACTTTAGGCCACCCCTAAAAAGCGTTGCGTAAAGTCCAAAAGTGTAGCCTTTTATCAAAGGCCACACTTTTTGGTAGTTTAGGCTACACTTTACTAGGGTGGCCGTAGGACTAAAATGTTTTAGTGTCATGAAATGTGGTGCTCACAACACTTCCTTTCCTTTTTCTTCATCATTTTTTTAGTGCTCATAAGTCATACTATTATTCGCTTCCCATGAATTGTTCGAAACCCAATTTCTTTGGTACTTTATTCCACAACTTTCTCTTTTTTTTCTTTTCTTCTCATTTTCTCTTTCTCTTTTTTTTATATGGAAGAGTTATAGCAGACTTTCCTTGCACTTCTTGACTTTACCTTTTTCTTTTTCACCACACCTCCAACTTAGGCTTTTGGCCTAAGTTGGCTATTCAATTAACCACAATTCAAGAGGATTATAGGTAATGGATAAAGAAAGGTAGTGATTTCATCAAGTTTCTTCCAAAGAAAGGTAAGGCTTCAGGGGTGTTCAAAAGCGGTTCACACACTCACAAGGTAGGTCACAAAAGAGGTATATGTCAAATTGACTCACACTTTTACAAGTTGCCTAAGATCATATCAAGAGATAGCATCACTTAGTTGACCAGACCAATGGGGAAAATTCTAGGATCTATCATTCATGGTTCAAAGTAAGCTCATCACACTAGGTATTGACACTACAGTCAAAGAAGACTCCACACTATCGCTAGGATGTAATGATCATCACAAGAGACTCAATTTGATACTAGGCTAGTCATAACGAGATGCAAAGAGTTCAAATATTGTCTATACAACGTCATTTAGCCTCGTTGTATCTGCGCATTCATGTTCGTTCGATTGAGAAGACTATTCAAGTCATCGGTATTGATTGGAACCAAGACTTAAATTTTGGAAAAAACAGCCATATTCAACACACGAGAGGTGGCAAAAAATTTTGGACGGGTGAAATTCATTTTGCAATTTGAAACAGAAAGAGCCACAAGCTCAAACATCCACAGAAAAGCAGTATTAACACAATTTTAAACAGAACAACCCAAATATATACACGAAACTCAAACAAAAGTAGCACACAAAGGGTGTGGGCCTCACCCCACCACAAACAAAAAACATTTTTCCTCAAAGGCTAATAAGATTATCCAAGATTTAAAAATAACAAAAGACAAAGAGGGGCATAAAGAGGGGATCATATCTAAGCGGTCGCTCCATCTGTCTAGGTCTTTGTGTCTGGGGTATCAACTTGGCCTTGAGTTTCCGTACTGTGGGTAACACCGAAAGGACCAGCTCCACTAGAGATAGCCAAATGAGTGTCTGCCATGGAAGCCTGTACAACTGCATCTATCATAATCTGTCAGGTCCTTGTCTGCAGCTTCCACAGTTTCCTCAAACATATCCTTATAAGTCTCTTCCTCTTACTCCGACTTAGCTGTCTGCTCAATTCTATCCTCATTTCTGATGGTGGCTGAATGTATTTCAGGCATATTTATAATCTCGACCGTTATGAAGACCATGCACAGAATGGTGGCCTTCAACTGATCCACATCATACCTCAGATCAGTAATAGCGACCTTTAATGCTGTCACTTCATTTGTGTCCCCTTGGTCATGCTCACACACCACTAATCTAGCGTCAAGGGCGTCAATGGTAGCTTTTATTGGTGTCACAACATCAATCAGGGTAGTCTAAATCATACCAGGGATGGAGGTTTTGAGTTTGGCTGCTCGACGATCCGTAGAATAGGTAAGTTGTCCCATTCGAATTAATGATGTCTGGGTGATCGGAGTTCGGAAGATAGTAACAGCAGTGGGCTCAGGGGCCAAAGTAAGCAAAGATGCCTTCGCATGTCTGAATTTAGTGGACTGTGCTTCCTTCTGCTTCTTCTTCGCTTGATCTTTAAGATATTCATCTTCTATTCTCCGGATATCCGTGGAGGATACGGGAATTACCACCACATCATTCTTTGCATATCTAGGTACTCAAGCCTGTTTGCACAACTCAATGATTAATACAGGAAAGGTAAGTAAGGTCAGGTGCTGCCTTGCACGCCAAAGCATCTCTGATGCAATGATCCGTCCCAAGTTTAGTGTTATTCCCTTAATGAGACAACCTAGGCAGGCTGCTTTTGCGTGGCGAAGGATAGATTCATTCTGTGAAGGCATAATCTTGATGTTGATGAAGCCAAACCAATATCTTGCTGCCACATTTAGGTCTTTCTTTTCGATAACTGCCCTAGTCTCAAGACACTTTGGTGTACCATCGGATATTAATGGGGCCAACAATGCTTTCACACTTTCCATTGACGTTTTTTTATCATGATTTGACTATTGTCCTCGAGTATCGCGGTGCACCACAAAACAACATTTATAGCAGGAGGGTCGCAGTGCACTCTCTTTCCCATGACAACTACATAGTCAACCGGTACAAATTTGGCTGCCGGTTTCTTCCCATGTGGTATCAATCTAATATACGCATTATAGAACTCTCTGACCCATCTTGAAACATATGGACCACGGGGCTTTGTGAAAATCTTGATGTTATGTGGTTTCAGACATCTTATAATCTCTGGATACCTATCAATCACTTCATCCGTTGAGAGACACTTTTCTTCAAGAATTGTCCTTAATCCCTCCGTCTTCAATCTGTCTATTAACTTGGGAGGAGGACCCTGTATTGGCGATGCCAACACTATTTCTTGTTCTGGTACTGGGGAATAGGTATGGTCAGCAGAGGCTTCCGGATCCTAGATGGATCATTTAGGTTTTTAGATCGCAACTCAGCTCTTTGTGTCATTATCAGCTCATCATCATCAGAGGCTATGCTTTGGCTTTCTTTTTTTTCGTCACTACTCCCAGAAGCAGTGAGATAAGTGTCATAAATGCCCTTGGTGGCAGAGTTGATCTCTGGTGATGTCGGTTCCTTTACTTTTTTCTGCCCTTTTTACTAGTTGTGGAAGGCTTTGCAGCCCTGCCTTTTGATACAGCTGCACCTTCATTGATTTTAATCCCCTTACCCTTATTTCGGGGTGGCATGGTTCTACCCGCGACTTTGGGTCTGGCCATGTCTGCAATACATTGAGAAAAAGTTAGAAAATATTCATGTAGAAACAACGAAAGTTTACTACGGACATATTCGCCGATCAAGTCGGTGAGTCGCCAATGACTTTTGGCAAACATGGGTAGCTCGTCGAAAGTTCCAGTATCGCAAGGGTTTAGGGGTGCAAACAAAATGTGATCAAGAA